ACTTTCTATAGCTACTTCACATATAGAACCAAAGAGAATACATGTCTCTTTTTCTCTCAAGACATTCGTATAAGTGTTAAGAGATCGATGTGGTAGGTTTGGATAGGTAAGAATCCTCGAATCTTGTAAGTGTATGCTGTTTCTCAACGTCGGTATATATTTTACACTTTTTCCCCCAACACTTCTGAACAAAGGTTATTCTTCATCATTTATCAGCAATTCTACATTTTCTATTTCACCAAAACATCGTAAATCGATATATATATACATTGGAGAATTTAATTCTCAGCATATATCTAATTTATATTTTTGCGTTTTTATATATCTTTCTATAATCATAAAATACAATTCAAAATTCATGCAACTAAATAGATAAGTATTCTCGTAGAATTTTTTACGGATTTTTTTTCATATCGTAATTTTTGTTTTATAAAAAAAAATACTAATAGAAAAGCACTCGTTTCACTAGTTCCATGACACCAATTACAAGCTGATTTTCAGGTCTCATATATCTTTTATTAGAGCCGTGACCAAAATGAGGTTGGAAGTTCATCAGCACTGACACCTGACGTCTCATTTCCATGAAGTTGATAAGCAAAAATAACTAAATCGACATTACAGATTGTAATTAAATTTACATTTGCAGCGTTTGTCTACCGTTTTGAAATAGAATATATAGATATATAATACTGGAAGATGAAATGGAAAGGTTCGTTGTACGATGACATACACAAGTGGTGCAGAGCGCAGAATATCGATTATGCAATATCGCAAGCAAGCTTCCCGTGTACAGACCATAATGCACATCGTTGCACCCTTTTTGCTAAAACACTTCGTCAATTTAGACATTAATTGCCATTATTGTTCCGATACTATACTTAGTTCACAGATTTTTTTTTTAAATCTAAATAAAGTTAGAAAAAAACTAAACTAATCTGTATTAAACAATTCCATATACTCTCTAAATCTGAGTAAGTGAAATTTCACTTATAATATTTCAAAGTCTTCCATGTAGAAAAATAAATATGCACTTAAAAATAAGTGAAACTTCACTTATTTTTAAGTGCATATATTTTTCTATACGTGGAAGACTTTTGAAACATTCTAAGTGAAATTTGACTTATTCAGATTTAGAGAGTAGAAAATAATTAAATCAAATTGTAGATCTTCAATTAAAAAAAAAAGACAATAAAAGTATGCAAATGAAAAAAAATTCACCTTAGCGACAACAATGAAATAGTATTTACTTTCTGTATGTTTAATAAACCATATATACAGTTAAATGAATCCAGACGACAAATCGATATATAAACCGCGAGTTCTCATATCCGTCGATTCGGTCTATTCTTCACCTCAATTCCACACAGTATTATTTTAGTACGTATCGACATATGCACGTGTCTCGTCTGGGAAACCAAAATTATTATATAATGAATGCAAATTATATGGTAACCAGCCGTCCAGACATTAAAATTAAATGTGGTCTTTCCATTTTAATAAAACTTGTCGCACGACTATATATATATATATATATCGCGTGAAGAAAAATTATCACACAAACCAATTTGAAAGGAAAACAAACCCTATATATATATCCAAAAAGAGTCTTCATTATTCTCAATGTACAATTAGGGAGTTGGAAAATCGTTATCACTACGCGGTGATTATAAGCCGTGAAAAGAGCGAACTAATTTTCACAACCTGTGGCTGAATATTTAAATTGGGCATCATAAATATTCAAGCCAGAACCCTTCTAATTACCCGAGCTAATAAATTTACTCTACTCTGATTCAATGTCCATTGGTATAATTTATAAGGAAACAAAACGAGGTTTTTTGCTCGGCTTGATTTTAGTGATACTATATTATAAACAGGTGGTTTTGAGTTACGGATTAAAGAAAGATGTTGAAAGAAATGTCAAGATATTCAAGAAGCGGCGATTACGTCGAAACCGTCTTATTGAACATATATACATATACATATATATATATGAAGAGAGAGAGCCGGTACGGATGTAATCTCATCTAGACACTCGGCTCGTAGCTACGGTTTTTATCCTATTACGTCACATGAATAAACTAAGGATTTTGGAAGTTGCCGGGGGGAGTCAGAATCCATGGGGGTTGGGATAGATACGTATATACCCATACCCAACTGGTTTGGTATGCCTTCGATCTTTGGCTGGGAAACGGAAAAGTGGTCGGGGATCAGACTTAACTTGCATTTGATTCTGTTGTTCGAATACATCTACGTTCTCTCCTGTTTCCAATATACCCTTTACTTGTTCTTCAGTTGCAATATTCAAAATTACATTTTCAAATAGAGAATTGTATATATGCTTTTAGAAATGAATAAAATATATTTGACAATTTCAAAGATCAAAGATCTTAATCTTATTAAATATATTTTATAAAGATTCAGAATAAATTAATAAAAGATTGCACTGAAGAAATAAGTGACTTACTTAGTAACTAACATGTTAGATTAAACTACTATAGTGTGTATGAGTAATAAAAGTTTTTAGATAACGAAACGATACAGTGAAGATCGGACCCATGTGGGTTCTTTTTCGATCCTTAAAATAAGTCGCGATTAATTTCTATAAATTGTAATAATAATGGACGGAGATTATTAATTATTGTAATAAATCTAGTTTTCCTTTTTAAGTGTTCTACAGTTCATTATTGTGTACCTTTAATTGATTTTACGTCGGTGAAGTTCACAACGTTTACGATCAACGATCGAGAAGAATTATTATTATTTTTTGAATGAAATTTTTTTTTTTTCAATCGTTGATCATAAACATTGTGAACTTCACCGACGTTTGATTTCAAGAATCCCAAACACAGTCTAAATGCAGAAAAATTTTAAAAACAATCAATTTTGATTCACAATTTAGCTATGTGGAATTTAATTTATTATTTAATTAAGGAAGCTAATGGATGATTCTTGGATATATATTTTATAGCATAATCTTGGAAGCGATTTAATTAGTTATAAATTATAACGGAAGTGTCATTCTATTAAAATACAATTATTGTGAAATATTTTTCGCTAACCTTATTCAAATTTTCATTAATTTTTAAAATGCTTTTTATTGAAACTTTATATTTAATTAGAAGCTGATATTATATGCTACTTCTATCATTGCAAAACAAACATTTAAAGCATAATTTAAAAATCATTACAATGATTGCAAACTTTGTTATACTCAGGATTCTGATTTTAAAAAAACATGGTAACATAACTCAAAAAATCATAAAAAAGTTTTCAATTTCTTATCTAATTTTAAAAAGAAATAAATAAATAAAGAAAATAAGAATTGCTCTTGGAATTAAATTTTAAAAATTGAATTAATATGCAAGAAACCCTATAGTATTCTTCAACAACAACTAGGGTGGCTACCGTATTAATTATTAATGTCATTAACTATATGTAAACAATAATTTGTATATTAATCGATCCTTTCGAAATCTTAAGACTAAATAAAATCACAGTAAACTATGAGGTATTAAAAAGAGTTGCAGATTAAATTAATACCATAAAAGATTTAATATATCCATTTTTTGGATTAAATTCGTTTTTGCATTTGATAAATATAAACGTTTCTAAGTCCAATTTTCAAAAATTTACAATTTTAATTGACGATGGATAAAAGCGTTTCATCTTATTTTAATCTCTTCTGGTATTAAAATAATACCCCACAATTTACTGAAAAATCATATATTTACGATGATGCTCATAAAGAATAGAGCTTCTAAAAATATCAACAAAACAGATATGAGAATGGCTAAACAAACAAAACAAAATGGAAAAATATTGATCGTCAGTAATACTCATCGTTAATATATATATATAATATATATATATATATATATATATATAATATATATATATATATATTGCCTATTGATTGAAAAAAAAAACTAAAATCTAATTCCAAAAAATTCTTTTCTCAATTTAAAAACAAATTCATCTTCAAAGGTGTTAATCGAACAGTTGCTTAAAACTGAAAGCAAAAGATGAAATCTTAACTAATCCTTTGAAACAATTTCAATCTCAATACAGAGTTATTAATGAATCAGTAATTAAAAATTTGTTAAAAATATATCAAATTTAAAATGACCTTTTGTCACTGTAAAAATAGATGCAATCTCAATGCTGCTTTTTAAAACTGTTATTTAAAAACTGAAAACAAAAAACGCATTAAACCTAACTTGACCTTTTATAATCTGTAAAAACAAATGCAACTTCAAATAGAGATGTTAAGGAACCACTAATCTAAAAACAAAATACGCATCAAATCTAAACTATTCTTCTGTCACTGCATTAAGCATCATCGATAGATCCTAAGATGAACCACTAACTGACAAAAAGCTAGTTCAAATAAACAAATAAATAAAAAATATTCCAATATTTGACAAAAGCCGAAATTAAATTACCAAAATCCGATGTTCATGAAGTTTCAAATAATAGAGAAGGCCATGTTCAAACTTTTTTAAACATTATAGAAAAAATCTAAACACTTCTGTAATTACTCATCATCTAATCTTTTTTTTCTGTAATTGAGGCTCCTGATCTTAAAAGGACTTACGTTTGAATTTGCATCACAAGTTTAGGTGCCTGTAGTTAAAATTTTGAAGTTGTTCAATATTTAATTTTAACAGTTCATTCTTATCGTAGAAATTTGATATTGAAAATTTCAAAATTTTAACATGAGCCGAAAGTTTTGAACGTTCATATGAACGAAATATTTTTTTCAATCTATAAATTATTAAAAATTATGATGACCATGTGAAATAAAACAGTTAATTAAACAATTATTAAATTAATAACTTCTTTTTAGATATTTTAAAGAATATTTTGTAATAAAATTCGTACTCATATTTTAACACCACATGCCAAAACTTGTGATGTATATTTGAGCGTAGACCCTTTTAAAATCCAGAGCCTCAAAAATCCCCCACAACAATTTGTTATATAATGAAACGACTACTCACAGTAGGATTAGGCATGCAACGTCGAGGCGGCGGTGCCATGGGATCGGGACCCGAACGATACGACGGCGGCGAATACCTTCCGGAAGGAAAACATCCTGGAGCGGAAATTGGTGCCCCATGGAGTCCCTTACTTCCCATCATCTTATCCGGCGAGTACATCATCATTAGGCAATTAGTGCATTTGCTCTACGCACTCTTTTTTATTTAAATTTCCATCCACTGATTTGGATCGTTCCAATAACAGCGACGGATGCGTTTTTTCAACTCCCAGTAAAAACGCATCTGTGCGATTCACAGAATTTTATTTTGAACAACTCCTTTCTTCAAACAATTGACAATTCCAAAATTTCAAATATAATAACAATTCCTTCTTTGCAAAAAAAAGCAGTCACTTGCACTCAACAATTTATATATTTATGAAAATCACGTCAATCACTTATAAAAGTACAATACCACAAATTTTTACACAGTTTATTACCATATCAAGGTCCAATAAAATGTTCCCAATTTTGGTAAAATAATTTCCAAAATAAACAATTTCTCTTAGTTCCCATCACTCGTTAGGAGAACCAAGAATTCCTTTGGTTTCTTCATTATAGAAATTCCTTGAAAATCTTTGGTTTATTCCAAATAGTCACTTTGGTCCACTGGGCACAGCACAATAATGATAAAAAAAATGAGCATACAGAAAAATCTCAATTTTATGATAACGATAATCACTTATCACGAGATGTTATTGTTATCTGGCAAAAATTAACTTGAATTTTAAACAATTGTCAGATTAAATTACACTTTTAGAGATGAAAATCGCTCGTGCATTGCGACAATATTCGCGTTTTTTTTGATGTGGTGACTGGTTGCGAAGAGTGCGCGACATGTTCTGCAGATGCACTATATCGTTTGGAGAGGGGGTGAAAAGGTGATCAGGGTGGAGGTGGTAACACAGCGGTGGTGGTGAAGACTAAGGGTTGGGGAAAGTGAGTGAGAGAGAGAAAAGCGCGTGCTCATAACAGGGTTGGTTGTGTTGAAGAAGGGGTGAGATTTCCCTGCTCCCCGTTGGGAGTGATAGAGAAAGACGAAAGTGGTAAATGATGATGTCGACAAGGAAGATAGGAAAAGATGAAACAAGAAGGGATGATCTAGTGAGGGCGGAGTTTGAAATGTTACGCTTGCGCCTCTGATTTTCATCGGTCGGCCATCTTGCTCTCATGCTCGTATGGTTCGCAAACCGCTATCCGCAACCACCGTCCGTCGGTTTGTCCTTTTCAACCCTAGTCCAACGGCGTGATGTGTACACCAACCTTACCTCGTGCACTGGACGCACAACAAGCTGTTTCGTTGTGTACCTATACATATATACATATGCCACCTGCAAACAACTTTTCTTTACGATCGAAATTATCATCAGTAACCGTTCACTGGAAAATTGACCGGAAATTATGTTGTTCCAAGCGTACTGAAAACAAATTGTCATTATATACATCAAATATATATATATATATATATATATATATATATATTTATGACAATTTACTTGGTTGACAATATTAAAATAAAAAAAGGGGTTTTAAGGAAAACGACACTCTTTTTCCTAATGTCATCGGTTCTGCACCTTTCACATAATTTTGTTTCTAATATTTCTATAATAATAAAATGAAATAATTGTAGACCCAAACAAAAGAATTTTAAAGTTTGACTTATAAATCATTTTTGTACTTTATTTATTTATATAATTTAAATATAACTTAATCTTTCCGACATTTTCTTTTAACTAGAACAACTCTTTTCTTGTGTAACAAATTGGAAATTCTCTCTTAAGAGATTATATACTTACTTTGGCGTATATATGTAAATTTGAACTACTTTATGTTTTACTTTTGTTGTAAACAGCACTTTATAAGTAAAGAGGAAAGCAATGAAGACTGCTTGAATAATTAAATAACCTTAAATTCTTAAATAAATAAAGAAGCAAGATATATTTTTCTTTTATATATGCTGCTGATATTTGTAAAAAAGGTTTGTGTTTTTAATTTTTTTATGTTTCAGTACCCAGATCGCATGTAAGCTTGCAGCAACCTTGCGGCATGCATGCCGCGCAATATTGCCAACCTTGCACAACAAACTAGCCGCAAGCTTCAAATGTCCCATTTGACCGAAAGCTTTCATGGTAAGCTTACCGAAAGATTGCAGTGTAAGGTTACTGCAAGATTGCACAATAAGATTATCGCAAGATTGCTCAGTAAACTTGAAGCAAGGTTGGTGCAAGATTGACAAATAAACTTGCTTTAACCTTAAAAAAAAATTTTTTAAATACTTCGTCTAATTTGTATAAGAAAATTTATATAATAAAATTATATAAATTAAACGAAACATTAAAAAAAAATTTTAGGTTCAAATCAAATTTATTTGTCAATCTTGCACCAACCTTGCTACTAGCTTACCGTGCAAGCTTACTGAGCAATTTTGTGATAATCTTATTGTACAATCTTGCAGTAACCTTACACTGCAATCTTTCGGTGAACTCAACATGCAAGCTTTCGGTCAGGTGAGACATGTGATGCTTGCAGTAAGCTTACGGAAAGTTTGCCATGTATAGTTGGCAATATTGCGCGGCAAGATTGCCGCAAGGTTGCTGCAAGCTTATACGTGCTATCTAGGTAAACTATATTTAATTGCAAGAATCTAACTAGATTCTTTTTGAAATCAAGTTTCATCTTAGATTTGGCACTTAGTTTACATCTTAAATAATGTAATAACACAAAAATCATCTAAATATCACTTATTGTTTGGGAGACTAATAGTGGAATACACTCTCTTAATCTAAATCCGTGAGAATCTTCACTGATTGTAATTAGCAACCCTCTTCCTTCTGATTTGACCAGTGATTTTCACAGATTCCCAGTGAAAATCAATGATTCAAACAATCAGATCTGGGCCATTAAATTGCAATCAGTGCCACTGACTCAAATTAAAAAGTAGGTACTGTAACTTGTCAAGCAGCAAACTAAGATTAATTAATAATCATTAATCATTAATTTATAAAACAAAATCCTTGGTTCTTAGCTGCAACATCATATAAAAAAAGCTATCATATTCTGTAGAAATATTCGAATAATCGATCCAAGGAAAGATTAATTTCCCCGGAGTGTCACGTCTCTTCGCGCGCGCTTGGTGAAGTCCATAAAATGTTATTGCGTTGGGTCAGAAGTGCACGTGCACTTTGATGGTGAGAGAGTTGGTGACCAAGATGTACAGTAGATACGGGAAGTGTCTTTATACTACTACTATCTTTTTAAGAGTATGTGTTCGTCACAGTTTTCTCGAGCAGTGTATTTTGCTTGAAAAAATAAATTTTTACTAGCCTTCCGACAAACGACCTAAAGCAATTGTGCGCAGGGTGTGGATTTCGCGTTGTTATACGGTTGAAACAACGTAAGCGAAACAACCGAGAGAAGTCAAGTCAAGGTAGGCAGGCACTCTCAGGCAGAGAGACGAGATGAGAACAGCAGCAGAAGCTATATAGTCAGAAGGGTAGGCTCCCGGTGCAAGTAGGTTTAATATTTGATACCGCGGGCTGGTCATCCTGCCAAGGCGATAACACAGGCCCCGCGGGAACCTTACAGCCAACATCCCTCGGAAACGACTGCCCCCTTCTCTCTCCCTCGCTTGCAACCTATTCCTCCATCTACCTATCCACTGCAGCAGCTAACCTACACCTATACACCTACATCCAGTGTAGTTGCCGCCGCCGCCCAACCAACCACCGTTGTAACTACCTTTTTCGGAAAATTAATAACGATCGCACACGTAAGAGAGCAGCGGCCAGATGAGCAGCTTCTTCTTCCACTTTTCTACTACCCATGCGGGTTTTATATACTTCCGGGCAATGTCAGTTCATTCGGTTGAATTTCAACTTTCAGACGATCAAATAAACCCGAGAGTTAGCATATAATGCAAAAGGAAGAGAATTTTTTAATATGCAACACCTCTAGAAACGGAAATTTCTCCAATTAGGAAAAATTTAATATTCGCGAGAGTGTCTGAATTTCTATTTTCTAATTAGAAAAGTACTTATTATCATGTTTTGATGCCCTTGCTGTGGAAATTTAAGGTTTGTGACAAATGAAATTTCAATTCATCGAAATTTATATATTGTTTAGGGATATAAACAATATATATTACTAAAAAATTGTCAAAAATCAGAATATTATATATTCTAATTTTTGGAATAAAATTAGAGCTGTGCAAAAGTTCGAATTTTGTATGGGTTTTTAAATTCCAAACGCTCTTAAAGTTAGAATACGTTTAAAAATTCAGAAAGCTTTCAAAGCAAAAAAGAAAACACGTTCAAAGCTAGATTTCATTTAAAAATTACCTTCTCTAACTTTTAATCAAATAAAATTTTTAGTATAATTTAAACTTTCCTTGATGTAGACACTTGTGTAAAATTTTATATATATAATTTAATTGACAAAAAGGATAATACCTTAATTTTTCTAGAAAAGATTTTCATTTTAAAATGTAATGATAATTAAAAATAAATTTTTTTACATTAAAAAAATATAAAAATAAAAAGTCGTTTATTGAAAATAGACGAACTTTAGAAATGACACAAATATTTGAAGCGATAAAAAAAAGAATCCTAAATCAAGCATAATAAGTCTTAATTAATTTCTAATTAATTACCATGAGCGAGCAATTCGATCATTAGTCTTTTAATCTATTATTAAAGAATTTATACATGTGTATGTATATATATATATATATATATATATATATATATATATATATATAATTTGTGAGTTAATAAATAAGACAGTCGATTATTCAACTCGATAAACAACTACGAAGAATAATTACAAACATAATGAGTCTTTAATCGAATATACCACGTTTAGATATTTGGTCAAATATTTGAATAGTGATAAGCGTTATTTGCAACAAGAGATTCAATTTACTTTATGTAATTTTTTATAAAATTATTGGAGAATTTCATTGTTTTAGAAATGAAAGTATTTCTATTTTTCATCAATATTAATCTTCGGGAGTTGACTTTCTTCTTGAATGAAACGAAACCAATTTCAAAAACAATGTTTTTGTCAACCTGAGAATGTGAGCGCAATTTTTGCTTAAATCAATTCAAGTTCTTTTTTTATTACGATTTGGTTTTCTAACACACCCATTTTAAAACCGGAGAAAATAGGGCGTAAACTCTGGCCTGTCACTCAAGTCTTCTTATCTGAAAAATAAATAAATTGTCATTAATAGTTGCATTTAATTTTGAAAGAAATTTTAAACTTTTTTAATTAAACATACCTAGATATTACTATACATTTATATCTTGTATAGATATTTCACATATTTCTTTAAATAAAATATTTGTAAAAATATGTCTTCTTTAGATTTTAATAAACTAAAACAACTCTTTTAAAAGTGAAGAGATATTTTTAACTTTGAAAGGAAAAAGTAAAACTAGAAATCTAATAAGTTCTGGAATAGAAAATTAGGTGACAGTTAAAACTTGGAATTGTCAGAAGAGGGAAACAATTAGCAGGTTGGTATGAGACTGAACTCTGCACTTAACTATAGCCGGAGGCAATGAGGTTCCCTCTCTTCAGGCTCTTAGGTTCTGAATCTTTAACAGGACGTCACTCATTGTAACTGCTGATACGAGGGGCTGTGCTGCCTGTCACGTCGATTAGGTGAGACGGTGGATGTTACTGAGATTGGGCTTCGAGCAGCGCGATTCGAATTCTCTATTTGCTTCTAATGTTTTAACGCGAGAAAGCTCTTCTCTCCCTGACAACCCAAAACGTTTCTCCAAATCGTTTTTGTTCAAGTCTATCAGTCGTCAATTCACCTCTCAAAATAAGCTCACACCCTTTTTGTTAATCAGTTGACTTTGATTAAAATAGTAATGGACAAATATCTTCTCAACCTCAACCTCTCCACTCTCTAAATCTGAATTAAGAAAATTTCACTGATCTATAATGCAAAATTTAAAACCAGTTTATTCCATTAGCAGATATAATATATACTCATGAATCAGTGTAAATTTCAGCTATAGATACTAAACTGTAAAGAATAGT